ATTACTTTTTTTTTTAATGATCTTCAAATTTCACATAATTTTGCAAACCGCAATAAGTAAATAAATAATTTTTCAATCGATTCATTTGCAACAATCGATTAATTCTTTAGTTGATTAGTTGCAACTAATCGATTAGTCGATTGATCGATTAATCGATTAGTTGGTGTCTAAAAAAGTTCAATCGATTAGTTGTCAACTAACCAACTAATCGATTTTTTCAACTTTCGATTTGTAACACTATCCCCAATTTGGTAAAATCTACGGGAGATGGATATTTGATTTGAATCAGCCAATCAAATGAAAATCGATCAGGATAGAAAATGTGGCTAAACCAATTCATACACAGGTAAATGCAAAACTTTCATAGTTTAAAATGACAGTTCCGCACGACTTATGCGCCCGAATTCAAAATGGTTTTCGGGCAAAACTTGCCTCCATAGCGATACCAGAATCGAAAATGAATCTATCCATAGTAAAGATTCTTTATGAACAAGGTTTTATATCTTCGGTACAACGTGGGAATCATATTAAACCCGATGATGTATTTACACCCACGGTACCAACAAACATAGCAACACGCAGACTCTGGCTTGACTTGAAATACAGAGACAACGAACCAGTACTTAAATATATAAAATGTGTTAGCAAAGGATCGAAAAGGATATACATGAACGTACAGGAGTTGATGGATTTGGCCAGCGGGAAAAGGGCAAAGTTTGTACCTCCTTTGAGGCCTGGTGAGATTGCAATTGTTAGTACTAGCAAGGGCGTGTTGGAAATTAAAGACGCGTTGGAATCTTATGTGGGGGGAGAAGTACTTTGTAGGGTTTGGTGAGTGGCCATAAGCTTGATCAGGTGTAATTAATCTTATAATGGTAATACTGTCACAAATGTTGACGTTAGCATTGACTAGCACAATAAACATACGTAGCTTTAGTATATATACGATTCTTGTTAAAATATTTTAACAGTGAATAACTTCGGTCTACTAGTCCATTTTGGATAGAGGTAGAGATGCATAACGGCTCTGCAACCGATCGGCTTAGCCGAGCTAATTAACGGCTCGGCTTAAAAACGGTTCGGCTAACTAACAGTTCGGCTTGTGTTACGTGAAACCAGTTTAGAGCCGTGGAGCTGATCACAAAGTACGTACGAATTTTTTATTAGTAAATTTTTTAGAATATTTTTAATATATTTTTTATTAAATAAGATTCTTTTTTTTAATATCTATTATCTTTTTATTTTATCTTATAGTTAAAAGTAAAATATTATTAATTTTTAAAATTAATAAAATAAAGTTCTTTATTATCTTTTTTTTATTATATTTTTATTTTATTTTTTTTTAAAAAATCTAATATAATCAACTTTTTCTAAATACAATTCATATAAACTATATAGAAATTTTAAAAAATCTTGCATTTAGGGAGATCTATTTTTTTTTTGGTAATTCGGCTGCCTGTTCTATTTTATTTGAGACTGAGGATTTCAACAAAAATATTACATTTTCATATTTTAACCTATATCATTTAACCAAAATATGGGCTCACCAACATCTTAAAGGTGTCAATGTGGCCTGCCTCAGTAGCAATTGGCCTCCTTCCGAGTTCTTCACTTGCAGGAGATTTTTTTTCCATCAGTCCTTGGTTGGTTGCTATGGGTTTATCAAGAAGCAGAAAAACAAAAAGAAATAACAAAAAGGAAGAAAAAATAGTGGTATAGAGGAAACAATAAAAAAATACAAACAAGAAAAAAAAAAGTAAAAATAGTAACAAGAAAATAAAACAAAATGCTATCCTAATGTAACCATTATGAGCTAGTAAAGTTTTGTAAAAATTATATACTACTAAACAAGATAGTCTCTGCTCTAAGTCTATTTAATTAGTATATCTAAGTAAAACCCAGGTTGGAAGAACTTTCTCAACTTTAATTCAAAATACTTCCTCTAACAGATAATACCCTAGTTGTAAAGAGATCAGAAATATGTCTCAGAGCATTGTTTGTATGAAAAGATAATCTATTTGAGGTACGTGTATTCACGTGTTTGTTGTTACTGATCTGATTTGGGAGATAAACAATGCTGACTAATTGGTGCATATGATATCGATCTTTTGGAGAAAGTACAGTTTGACGATTTACCAAATATGGGTAGTGTCGATCACACCTTTTATGGTATAAAAATGTCGATCAGATGTTTTTAGACATTTCGATTGCATAATATCACATATTAATTAGCCAATCAGATTACGGCCTTAACAATAAAAAATTTGATTCTTTTGTAGTAACATATAACGAAAATATTTAGTAATAAAAAATTCAAAGATTTTCAAATTTTAAAATTATGTAGAAATCAGCACAACAAACAACATAGAAATCAGCACAACGAACAACTTTATTTAATGTACTAAAATCGTTTTACTTAGTACAAAATTTTACTA